GCTTCTCTTCCGGCCCAGGCGGCCTCCGGGCACCAGGGGCGCCCTGCCCCGCCGCCGCCGCCGCCGCCACGCGCTCCGGGACCCCGGCAAGGTCACGGAAGCGGAATCCGGACAGACCCCGGCCGCGGATCTCAGTCCGTCGTCCCGGTCAGGCACATGATTCTTCGCCCGCCCGCTCTGCCTTGCGTGCTTTCTGGGGCTCAGCCTCCGGAGCAAGAGGTTCGGGCTGGTCCTAGGGTTGCCAACTTCCAGGTGGTGGCTGGAGGTCTCCCGGAATTATAACTGTTCTTCGTGCGACAGAGATCAGTTCCCCTGAAGGAAACGGCAGCTTTGGAGGGTGGGCTCTGTGGAGTTATATCCCTGCTGAGCTCTCTTTCTCCTCCCCAAATTCCACCTTCCTGGGGCTCCAGCCCCAAAGCCAGAGCTGGCAACCCCAGCTGGACCCAAAGCACCTGGACGACACTTGGGTGCTGCGGGGGGGGGGGCATGAAGTGGGATTGCTGGGATTTTGGTCCCCTCCCCAGCTTCAGAAATTGCCCCAACTCCATGTCTACTCCTAGCTCCAGTGCATGCTTCTATCAGCTCCCCACCCCCATCACGTTCTACTGCTGGATAAGTAACAACTTGCAGGGGAGGGTGGGATATAAATCAAATAAATAAATAACTGCACCTCCCCATGAAGTCTCAACACCACTCTATAATTGGTACCTGTCACTTTGTTCTTCACTCAAAACTTTGCCTCCTCCTTCCATGGTAAGATGGAAACAATATTCACTGACCTCATTCTTTTTTCCCCTTCCTCCACCACTTTCCCTTTCTCACAATCAAATTAAAACAGTGCCATTAAAAGCAGATGGCATTACAAATGAAAAACAGTCCACAAAGCACACAGTAGGAAGATTTAAACTTTGTACCTAAATGCTACTAGTGAGGTGGCTTGGTAGATATCCCTAGGAAGTTGCTTCCTGTGACACCACCCCTCTCCAGATGTTACATCATGAAGAGAAGCAATTCTGGCCTAGCCTTCTCCTGCAATGGGTTGCATTGTATGATGGTTGCAGTTGGGGGTAGCTGAACTAGAGGGGGGGGGAGATTACCCTAAAAGCTGTGCACAGGCAAGCCGAATCCTACACTATTGTGAGTCAGCGTGGTGCAGTGCTGAGAACCACGTTCAGATTCCTGCTTACCATAAAACACATGGGGGAACCTTGGGCCATTTGTTCTCTCTGTCTAGTCTAACTCAGGGGATTGTTGTCGGGGCAGACATTGGCCTGAGCACAAGAAGAAAGTGGGGGCAGGAAAGCATCCACTGCTCTGTGTTTGCCTGTCATGCTTGGGTAATATTCTCTAAACACAAAAGTGTTATTTTTTGAAGGGAAGGCTATAGGGAATATGTATCTCAGACATGGAGTTTGAACTGCATACAAGCCATGCAAATAGTGATGTATCGCATATGGCAGTTCGTAGCGGTACATGAACTGTGTTATAGAGTGGCCCTAGAGAATGGGCCCAGCCAGCACCTCCAGAGTCTGAAAGAGTTTACCCCTGTGAATGGTTTTGAAAAGCTGAACAACAATCCTTCCCGTCAGCATGCAGGTTCCAAATGGAGCAGCTACTCTCCCCTGGTCACAATAGCGCTACATGGAAAAAGACAGATTTTTTACTCCCAAAATTAAATTGTCTAGAAACAGACCCCCCAACCGCTGACAGACTTTAAAATGAGGATTGTTATGCATCTTGCTACTTTTTGTACAAAGTAGCTCTTGAAAAAAAGCAAATGTTATTTTCCAACCGATCCCTTAGCTTTTTTCCTTTGTAACCAACTCATGGTGACCCCATGAAGTTCAAGGTTACAGATGAGCAGAGATGATTTGCCACTGCCTTCCTCTGCATAGCAACCCCGGTCTTCCTTAGTGGGTGTCCCATCCAAAAACTAACTGGCAGATCAAACTAGTCAGGGTTCTTTAGGCTGCTTACCATCTTCAGGGAGAGAAAAATAAAACCTCAGACAAAATAGATCAAGTTAAATTTACAAATCTTTTATCAAATAAAAAGAGGAACTATAGTAAGGATGTTGCTGCTGCTGCCTTGAAGCATCCCTCTCAGGTATCATTTAGGAATTGCATTTCAGCTCAAACATCCTTGGTTCTAGACCTATATATACAGCATGTCTCAGCAAATAGAAAGTGCTCTTGGGAAATGTGGGCAGTAAGGAAAGTTACTAACCAAGTACATCAAGTTGCACTGTACAATGAGTGGTTTCAGGGCACAAAACAGTCCAGTGAAATAAACTTGCTTCCCATTCTCAAATCATAATACACCACTTGCCTCCTGCAAGAATTCAACACAAAGGAATCTACTGTTAATGTTTTGTTGGAAAACACTCAACATCGTATCAGATAGACATGAACAGGAGTCTCAGAACCTCTTCACCTAGATGATAAAAAGCCAGAGAGAAGACCGAAGATACTTTATACATACACTGCAAACCGTATCCTTGAAAACTTATCCTGCTACCAACTGCCTACACAAAGCATAAAAATTAATACAAATACCTAAGTTTAACATATGAATAAATCAAACAACCACAGACATTACAGAACAACATCTGGCTTTCTTTATCTCAAGACCCTACTTAGTATTTTTTAAAGTAGCATTTATCTTTTAACAGTTTGCGAGCAAAAGAAAGGGGGAAAAACATTAGTTATCTTGGACTGCTGGGGGAGGGAGAGGAAGAGAAGCAGCAGCTTTGTGTTGTACATGACTGTTGGTTGCTGCAAAGTTTTATTTAAAAATCATTCATTGAAGAGCTGCCAGGCCATGTGAGCATCCAGAATACCTTTCAATTAACAAAAGCCACCTTAAAAACAGTGGTTTTCTTTATTATCCAAATAAGTCCAGTACCACAAAAGCCACATGTGTACAAGAAGCTCCTGAAATAAGAAGTCAAGAGACAGCAGACTTTAAGGCAGTGAAAAGACGAGAGGGCAGCAAGGCTCCAGCACCACAATAAGGATGCGAGCTCTACTGCAGGAAAAGTTCAGTCCACCTTCCTGGCCTATTGTCATGTCGATTCTTCCTCCTCTTCCTCCTCCTCCTCCTCCTTCTTCTGGTCCACTTCGGAGGTGTCTGATGATTCATGCAGGAGGACATACTCCCTGCTGCTGAACCCAAATTTCAGGACATCCTTCTCTTTCAGTTCATAGTAGCGTTGAGGCTCAATGCGCTGGTTGTTCAGAAACGTGCCATTGCCTGAGCCAAGATCAATGATGTAGGGTTTGACCTTCCGACCTGTTGTGCCATCAGGGCGACTGTACTCCACGAGCCTGGCCCAAAACAGATTCACAGTGGTCAGCAGCATACATACTAGATGAACAGCTGTGCCAGACATTCGCATACATCTGCATCAGCATATCTGGAGGTGGGGCACCCGCCCAGGTCTTTGGGTGGGACCCACTGCCCCCCCCCCACAAGCCCATCAGTTTGTTGTGAGCTCTCCCAACAGCTATGTTCCCAGGTGCACACACTGGTCAGCACAGTCAGGGAAAGCTGTGTGAACAGTGGGAGGATTGGAAAATGAGAAAGTTGGTGGGAGAAGGATGAATGGCTAGGCAGTGTGTGTAGGGGGGGAGAACACAGGTCAGCAGGGAAGTGTGAGTGGGGGAGGCACAATGGCAAGCGTAGGAGGGGAAGGCACTCCTGGGTACTGTGCCCAGGGCCTAAGGAAACCTGGAACCAGCCCTGCTGTGAACACTGCATTACTTCCTTGTTTCCACAGCCTCCCATAGCAACATGAGCTTGTGAGGACTAAGTTTCCTTTCATAAAAGACGTTTCGTTACCTAGATCCCATGTTATGTGAACTGATTAACTCCAAAACAAGTGGTATCCCAACATTCCATTTTGGTGTGATGTTAGCCCACTTAATGGCAGGCTAATAGCAACTTTAGACATTTGGTGGATCTTTTATCAATCACTCCTGCTGCCCACTAGCAAGTGTCTTTAATGTACTGCTTTCTGCCAATCATACCTGCCAGGGAATATTCACTGTTACTTCTCCTACTTACCTACCTTAAATGATAAATACAGTAACAGAACACCTTTAAATATATCAATGTCCTTCATGGGGAAAGTGGGGATTTTTGTTTCTATTGTGGTGGGACCCAGGATCTTTGACAGTGATTGGATAAGGCACCAAAGGTTGAGAACTACAGATCCAGACCACCTGCTTTGTACCACAGAAATTCACGATAATACATAAATGACTTATCTTAAACTAAGGGCTTCTCATAGTGTACTCTCTAGCAGGCGAGCCAAGACTTACCGATACTGAAAGACAGCATGCTGTTTGGAACAGGAGGGATGGTCAATAGGAATATCAGCAATACGTCTGTGTCTGCCTAGCAGATAGGCACTCTGCCTGTGAATGTACATGACCGGAAGAACCTCATCATTCTTAAAAGGATAGAGGCGCCACCGCTTCTTTGGGATACGTGCTTCAGGAGGCTCAGTGTATTTGATTACCACTCCACGGAAAGTGTTGGTGTCCTCCAAAAGTGCACCAGACAGTTCAAAGCTTGGTTTTTCTTTATTCTCTGATTCTTTTTCTGTGTTTTTGCTACCGGGCTTTCCTGTGTTTCTATTCTCCTCGTCACCACTTGCTTCCAACAGCTGACGATGTTCACGCCGTCGTTCGTTATAAAACTCTCTCTGTGACTGCTGGTCCTGGAGATGATGATCAGTTTCCCTTTCATGGCTCCCAGGGCGTTCTCGGTGGGGTTTCCGTCGGCTTGAATGGTCCCTGTGTCTGCCCCTATTTCTACTCCTCCCCCCTCTGTGCTCCAACTCAGAATGGTTCCGATGCTGACGTTCCTCATGTCCCCTTCGGGAGTGATCCTGATGCTCCTGCAAGGGGGGGGGGGGGGGGGACCAATACGGCAACATGAATACATGCTTTCAAGTATGTTTTCTAGGATTGCACAATTCAATTAATCATTATAATATGTTGTCACATGAAAAATAACAAAGCAATTAATTAACTTTAATTAGAAACTCCTATTAAGCCATAAACTGTAAGAGAGTGATTCCCAATCTTTTTGATATGGTGATCCAGAAGCCCGAATCTACTTTATATGGTGATCCATCCAGGGCTGGCCCAAGGTTTTACTCTTGTGCCCTAAGCAAACTGTGACCTTGACACCCATCTATTCCAGCACTTCATTTTCTATAGTGCCCAGCCACATGTTTGAGAAACCAACAAACACCACATAAATAGTGCAGCTGCTCCCACGATGAACCCCAACCAAGTGGGAGTTCATGTCGTCCTCCTCTGCCAGCTGGGTCAGGAGTCCTCACTGGTTTGAAGAAGCACATAAAGATGGCAGTGAAGTGCTTGGCAGCAAGGGGCTTGGTGAAGGACATCTTCCACAGCAGGTACAGAGCAGTGTGGGGTTGAAGAAGAGGCTGGGCTGCTGAAGGAGCAGAATCAAGACAGAGCCCATGCACACACGTGCCTCTTTGTACCCTTCTGTGGTTTCCCCATGGCATGCTGAACAGCTCCCACCTACACTCCAACTTCCCCCACCCTTCTTTCAGCTACTACCATGATGTCACTAGTTTCCAGGCACCTTTCTTCCACTCATTATTGTCACAAGGAGAGAGAGGAAAGATATGTGAGAAATTGATGAGAAAAGAACGACAAGGATGCAAAAGGCAGGAGAGAAAGCCTACATCCTCTGGCCTCTTTCATCATTCTCTGCATGTAACAACTAATGTTGTTCATTATACAGAGACTCCCACCTGAGTTATGCCACCAGGCCTCTCTCTATTCCCAACTCCCCCACCCTGTAGTTCTCCTGAAAAAAATGAGGAAAGTGACTTCTTTTTCATTGCATCTGAGTCACCAGTGTTAGTTTTAAAGGTTCTACTGGACTTTTCTTACCCTGCCTCTCTTATTCTTCCCCTAAAACCATCCAATCTCTTCTCTTCTCCTTCTTCAAATGAGTCTGGCAGAGCCAAGAGCTGATGCAGGGCCCGCTAGAATCACAACTCATCTCCCTCAGCCCCCACTCTCTTTCCACCTACCATCCTCCGACCCACCAAATGTCTCCCCCCTGCATCCTTCGGAAGGGCCACTCACCCACCTGCTTTATTTTGCCTATCACTTGACGAGGGCTTCGACTCCTCTTGTGTTTTTTATTCGAAGACTTGCTCTTCTTTTTGGAAGCCAACCTGTAAAGAAACAGAGAACCAACTCAGCAGAGCAGAAAACGACAACGGGGAGCCCAAATGGGCTGATACCCGGCAGCGAAGGACGTCCAGGCAGCCAGGACACGGATCGAGAGCCTATCGGCCCGGGAAGGAGCAGCTAGCCAGGCCGCTCTCTCAGCCCGTCGGAGGCGGAACAGACGACGCCTAGCCGCGAACAGGAGGAGGATGCGGCGGCGGCGCCAAGGCTGAGGCCTGCCTCAGGGGAGGGGGAGAGGGCGCCCTACCTGGCATCCTCCGGTGGGCTAGGCGGTGAGCGGCTTCCGCGGGGGCTCCGCTTCCTGCGCCGCCGGCGCTCCGGTTCCTCCATAGCGCCCGCCTGCTTACCGTCTTCGAGCTTCGCCTTCCGTCGCCACCCGGAAACACTTCTGATTTCGCTCGGGGCCGTTCTAAGTCTCTATGAGGAGTCCAGAGAAGGAACCAATGAAGGCTCTTCTTTCGGTTGCAGGCGGGACTTCCTGGTCAGCCTGTTTTCCTGTTGCAGCGGCTGCTTTGGAAGCGGGAGGAAAGAACCAGGGAAACGGGGTTTGGAAGGCTTCTGTGACTAGGAGAAGGTGCTGAGGGCGCGGCACGAGAAAAAGAATAGAACCCGCTCTTGACAACCTTGCAGGATCGGCGCATCTCATTCCCCTCATCTATAACAAGAAGTCATGTGATCTCTGCCCACCTGCGCGCGCGCCCAGCCAGCCCGCTCCCGGCGCCACTTTAATGCGCAAGCGCCGCGGGCCACCTATGCTATGTGGCTCCGGCGGAGCGTCTCTGTCGCCATGGCAACGGCAGCACAACGGGCCCCGCGCCGAAGGCCGGGCCTAGCAGAGACCACACCGGAGCCGTCATGATCCCACCTGCAGACTCGCTGCTCCGTTACGAGACGCCGGTGCTGGTGAGCCGCAACACCGAGAAGCGGTCGCCAAAGGTAGGTGGGGAGTCGGAGCGGGGGCGGGGGGAGTGAGGGAAACTGAGCATCGCCGCCCTCACTCCCCTTCCGCCCTCTCCGCAGGCCCGGCCGCTGAAGGCCAGCCCACAGCTGCTGTTGCCCGCCGGGCCCGTCCCTCCTACCAAGGCCAAGGCGCCGTCGCCCACCGTAGATCCCAGCAAGCAAGCGGAGGAAATCCTCAATGCCATCCTGCCGCCCAGGTGAGCCCGGGGATGGGAGGTGCGAAGGGAGGCAGACTGGGCTGGGCTCCTGGGGCGGTGAGAGCGCGGCCACCCTGCGTCTTCCTTCTGTCTTCTTGGTCCCCTTCAGAGAATGGGTGGAAGAGAACCAGCTATGGATCCAGCAGGTGTCGAGCACCCCCAGTACACGCATGGATGTGGTGCATCTGCAGGAGCAGCTGGACCTCAAGCTCCAGCAGCGCCAGGCCCGGGAGACGGGCATCTGCCCTGTGCGGCGGGAGCTCTATTCTCAGTGCTTCGGTGAGCATGGTGAGGCCAAGCTTCCTTCCCTTGGGCCAAGGTGCCCCTTACTTGTTCCACATGTACCCTTCTGCTTTCCTCTCCTGGTTTTTGCATGTGCTTCACAGCATTAGCCTACTGAACAGCTCCAGAGCATCTTAACCAGATATGAGGACACTGAGGTGAAGGGGGTCTTGCCACGGTTTCCTTACATTTCTCTTGCAAGCATAGCTGTGCAGCATGCAGTGGCTACTGCAGGGCTGGAAAGCAGCCTGTGCTTTGGTCCAGTGTCACATGAGACATGCACCACTCCTGGGCTCTGAGGCTACCCTGAACATCTACCAAGTTTCACTTAGTGGAAGAAGGCAGCTGACTTAGCACTCAGCACTCCTGCACACAGCCTGATGGCTAGCTCTCTGCTTCCAGATGAGCTGATACGGCAGGTGACCATCAATTGTGCCGAGCGGGGGCTCCTGCTGCTACGTGTGCGGGATGAGATCCGGATGACGATAGCAGCCTACCAGACTCTGTACGAGAGCAGCGTTGCATTCGGAATGCGGAAGGCGCTACAAGCTGAGCAGGGCAAATCCGATATGGAAAGAAGAGTAAGTGGGTCCACCTACAGGCAGTTTGAGGAAAGCATTCAAAAGGCAGAATTCTGTTTCCCAGGAATTGAGCACTCATGTATGGTGTTTGTACCTTTCAAGCAACAAAAAAAGGAGCAAGCCTTAATGCAGACAGTATAAAAATAAGAAAAGGGATCCAAGGAAAGAGATAAACAGATGTATTGCAGGTACTTAATAGAAAAGTACTGAAACTGCTTTGGGAACACCATATACAGGAAAACCAGCTAAATGCAGTTTAACCTCAGAGCTGAAACTGAACCAGGAGAGGTCCTGGAGATTCATTCCATGTTCTGACCCCTGTGGTTAGTTGTTTGGTACAGTCGCAAGTCTGACATTAAGTTTTCACCACTGGAAATTTGATATTATTATCAGAGCTCATTTGTCTCACAGCTGTACATTCAATTCCAAACTTGGATTCAGTTGCATCCTTTTAGCAATTCATGTCCAGGAATGGGGTGCTAAGGAAGGTCTGAAACAACTATTTAATACTAAAACAAGTATATATAATCTGAAATTTTTTCTTGTTTTCATATCTCCTTGTATATGGTGTTCACAAAACAGATCTTGTATTCTTGCCTATACATGCATAATGTCTTTCCCCCCAACAAATTTGGCAAGAAAAACTGCCAGCTCCAGTTGTAAAATGCTGAAGTGCCAAGCTTGATAAAACAATGGAGACTGCCTGTCAGAGTTGCAGCCACATCCTGCCTGCCTGGAGTAGGTGACATTAAAAATGCCTCCAAGAGGCCCTGAATAAAACAGGTTATTTATTTTCAGTGATTGACTGATAGAACAAAGTTTTCTGTCCAAGATTGCAGAGTTGGAGGATGAGAAGAAAGATTTGGAGAGGCAAGTAAATGAGCAGAAGGCCAAGTGTGAAGCCATCGAAAAACGGGAGCTTGAAAGGCGGCAGGTGGAGGAGAAGAAGCACACCGAGGAAGTCCAGTTCCTTAAGCGGACCAATCAACAGCTGAAGGTTAGTGGAAGAGAAGGAAACAAATGTATAGGGAGACATCTTTTATGTCCTGCTTAGGAGGTCTCTGACTCTGAAAGAAGACTAGTTTTCTTAAGCCACAGGAAGCTGGAGTAGTCCCAGAGTGTCAGCTAGCTGCCATATTTTACTTGTTCCCGTCTCTAATCCTGGCTTGCTCGCTGCTCTGCCACTTGCTGTAAACAATGCTTGGGAGACTGTGGGAGCCAGTTCTGCCAGACGGCGTTATCTGTCTGGCCTTGTGAAGGCGGAAGGGCTTGCGTTCCACCCCTGGTGTGAATCTTTCGGCTCTCATGAGGCACTGAGACTCTCCCGATTATCATGTATCCCCCGCCGGGAGAATTCCCGTGCGCTCGCTCGAATTTCATTTGCTTAGCCATTTGCCTTGTCTTACTATATGTAAAGATGTTTCCGCCCCATGGTCATTCCTAACAATAATCCCGTGGATAGGGTACCAGTTTTGTAATCTTAGAAAGCATAACGCTTCCTTGGAAACGTGTGTGGAGATTTACTTGCTGCAGAACCTGACACGGGTTTTTTCCCCTCAGGGACTATTGGTGCACGATTGTTACAAGGTCTATGAGGGTGCGCCATGTACTTAAAAGAGGGAATCCCCCCCCCCCCGATCAGATTGGCTAAAGCATCTGAGGTTTACTGCTGGGAAAAGGATTCCCTGTAGGAAAGAGCTGGGTTTGTTTTATTGCATTCTTTCCCCAAAGAAAAGAGCCTAGTGAGATACTCGAGTGTGGCATTTATTAGCTGCTCCCTTGCACAGCAGCCACCACTCTCCTTTTTCATTGCTTGCACATCGAGTTGTTGCAGTCCCTAAGTTGTTGCTCCCAGGCAATGGTTTCACAGCCAGGCCCAAGAATGCAGAATTTCACCAGCTTTGATTCAGTTTCCTCTTTAATGCTTTATATTACAAAACTGAGTTTCATTGCCAGGAAACGGTGCCAGTTCTCTCTTGCTTCTCATAATGCAACAGGTCTGCACTCCAAGAATGAGAATAACTAATTTTTTAAACATGGGAAGAGGAATGTAAGAATGAACACAGTCCCCTAGCTAGTGCCTTTCTCAAGTACTCCAGTAGCCAGTCACACATCTATAAAAATCAAAAGCAAGAGCTCTTTAACAAGTCTGCTTTTTTGTTTCTCATTTTGCAATTCAGGCCCAGCTTGAAGGCATCATTGCTCCAAAGAAGTAAAACTTCCCATCATCTCTCAAGCAAGAATTCATCTGCTTTGGGCCTTGTCTCTCAGATCACAATGACTGGAGATGTTTCATACATTTCAGGGGGTTGGGGGGGGGGATAGAGTGCTGGGCAGGTCTCAGCCCTGACACCTAGGCAAAGGCCTGTCTGGATTCGTAAGAGAATAAATTGGAATTCTGAAGCTCTTTTGGGAAGACAGAGGCTCTCCTTAACATTCCCTGCCTACTTGTGCTGGTTCCACCTATTTCCCTCTCTGCTTTGTGAGCTTTTCAGCAAGGCACTTAAGTGGATGGCTGCAGGATGAGTTAGACATATACACTGGGGGAAAGTACCAATTTCACAGACAATTCTAGCTCTTCTGCTAGGGCTGCCTACAGGCGTGTCATTTAAAACTGTGTTCAAAGTCCCCATATGGTAAAACCATGGAAGCAACTGCCTATGGATTAACCAGATAATACAGTTAGCTAATCTGAACCAGAAACCACACTGGGTTGGGGAAAGAATTTGACACACACACACACACCCCACAGTATGTGTAATTCTCACCAACCCATTTATGGGGTTTCCCCATTGGGGTAATTTTAAAAAAAAAATCTTGTGGCAAAGTTTTTTGTTTGTCTGTGGGTGGCCTTGTTCTGTTGGTTCCTGGAGCACCAGGCTTGGGAGAGTACTTTGAGATCAGAACATTCACCCTGAGCCAGGAAGTTGACAATTTAGACATGTAAATGGCAAAGGGCACAACTCTCCACCAGTGGCGAGGCTTGGAAAGAGTTATGATTCCTTCAGCCGAGCAGGCCAGAGGGAAAATCATGCACCGTACTTGCTGTGTAACTGTTTACACACCATAGTTCTGGCAAAGCGGAATGGATACTTCATTCTGTTCACAAAGGAAGAAACTACTGCTTGCATTTATTTCTGTTTGTGTTCAATCTCTGACCTTCCACATTGCATTTCTTCTTGAGTCGGTTTTTGTTTTTGACATTGTGAGTGTCATAATAACGGACACCGATTTTCTTGGAACGCTGCTGCCGCTGCTCTGCTCTCCGCTGTGAAAGTAAAACCAAACATTCATTTAAGTTAGAAAGCCTAACTGAAAAAGACACAAACTAGGCTGCTGCATACCGCAAGTGCACAAAAGAGCCTCCCCCCGCCTTATGCTGCCTAACAGGAAGAGGAAAGGCATATTTGCAGAATAACCCTGCATACATGAAGCCTCCCCAAGGCCTAGAACTGCTGGTTGGCACTGGAAGGGTAGCAGTCAAAAGTCTCAGGGGTTCTAAGATGGTTACACCCTCTTACCTCCTTAGAACTTGGCTTCTTGCAAGGCTTCTTAACCTGGTGAGCATCAGCCTCCTCCTCCTCTTCTATCCTCCTTTTCTCAGCTTTCCTCCGACTCCCTGAAAGCAGGATTTCAAAAACTGCATCTGGCAAAAGTCTCTGCAGCACCAACCCTGATAAGGCAGACAGCCTGGGCTTTCCCAGAGAATCAAGACATGCCAGGGTGTTGCTACTACGTGCCAAGCAGTAACCACCAGCCTCATGTGTCAGCGAATCTGTAACACTTCCTACCAAGGGTTTACACTACAACATGTTCATGTACATAACACTCAACGCACACCCTGCTCTCACTTCTCAGTAATAAGAGCCAGAGACACCTCAGTACCATTTGCAGAGGGTTGAAAAGCCACTGAAGAGAATACTGAGTGCATTTGAGATCAGTTATCTTTTTTTCAATAGTGAAGAGCTTTTAGTCACCCATGTCTCTGCCCAAACAACCTTTGCTGCACCCAGTCAGTTTGCTTTTGTTCCCTTTTCCTCATGCTCCTGAGCGTTGCCATCGTTACAGCAGCTGCCCACCTCTTCCAAACCTCCTTCCCAAATTGCCTCGCCATCCCTGTGGAAGCAGCCATGGCTTCCAGCTCGTGTTCATCTAAACATGGCTCTCCCCCACCCTGACATGGCCACTGCAGTGCAGCTGTCCCCTTTTGGAGGGCCTTCCTGTTTCTTAGACTGGAGACTGCAATGGTGGCCTTTGGTGATGGTGGGACCAGTTCCTCCTGCACACTTTTTCTCAACATTTGGGCTCAGGATGTGGTTGGCTGGAAGAGGCATCCTACACTCATGCTCAGTCTTAGCAGCCTTCGGTCTTGGTCTGTGCTGTGACATTCCTTGGAAGTATCATGCCCCCCGCCCCAGACTCCACAACGAGGGAAAGGTGGGTTACAAAGGCCAGCTGTGGAAGATCAAGGCTGTCCAACTCTGGTCCCCTCTGTTACTCTATGCTGCAGTCTGTATGGGTTCCACGTCCCACTCTTAATGCCTGAGGTGTATCATCTTCCTCTTGGACAATATTCCCACTCGGATGCATCTTTTCTTCTCCCCCCACTTCAATTTGCACAGTAGAATTGGTTTCCACATAGCAACTGGAACAAATACTTTCATTCCTCCCTGCCTCTCCCCCCCCCGCCTCAAATTTATTTATTTATTTATGGATTTATATCCCGCCCTCCCCAAAGGCTCAGGGCCCACAAATTTTAGGTTGTGGGTGCTGCTTGTCCTCTGGAAAGTGCCATGTGCAGAAATAAACCGATTGCCACATCAGTAACTATTAACATAGCCTCAAATCCACTTCCTTGGCATGGAATGTGGGGGCGGGTGGGAATCAGTGTTCCCTCTAAGCTGAGTTAGTGTGAGCTAGCTCACAGGTTTTTTAGCCTCCGGCACACATTTTTGTCTTAGCTCAGGAAGGATGACTGTAGAGCAAACTAATTTATGCAGTAGCCAAATCACTCGCTCACAAATTTAATGCCAGTAGCTCACAAAGTAGAATGTTTGCTCACAAGACCCCACAGCTTAGAGGGAGCATTGGTGGGAATCACTGGAGGTTGCAGAGTAGAAAGGCAAAGCATAGGCCAGCAGCCCCCTACCCACCCAGGTCCTAGAGCCACCTCACCTCTGGCTTTGCCATTCGCAACAGTCGCTGTGTTTGGCTGACACTTCGCAAAGACTTTTTCACTGAGTCCTTTTGGGATTCTGCAACACAAAGAGCAAAGGAAGTATTGCAAGTCTTGCCAAGTCCTGCCTTCCCCTCACCCCAAGCATTCAGTCCTTGTCATCAGCAAGGAATACAGATTATAAATAACATAAAGACAGTCTGCTTGCACAACAGCTGGATGTAACAGAAATCCAGCCATGACTCGGCGGGGTTTGGACCCAGCAGAGAACTTCCTCTGAATCACAGAGCCACACCATGGCCAAGACTGAAGTAGCACTCTCCTCTGCAGGACGTGCCTTGGCTCAGTTTCTAAAGTCACTAGGAGCTACCTGATAGTGGCATGTGGCTTCTTGTGAAAATGGGGAGCGGGGGAGACACACCTGCACTAAGAATTATTGCTGGACAGTCCTGCGATTGTGGCAAAAAGACAGCCTCCGCTTCCTGGGCCCTTCTAGCTGTGACCTCCACAGTTCAACCAGGTCCCCTCTGTCTCCAGAACACAAGGGATTACCTTATTGCAGAGAATCTCTTGGCCTTGGCCTTTTCCAAGAATCTCTTGTACTTGGCAATCTTCTCTTCCAGAGACTTCAGCACTGCCTTGGAATCCTGCTTACTGTCTGCCTTGCCTGAAGGCCCACTGTCTGCCTCCTGAAGCCGGTCACCTTCCTCCGGGTCACTGTCCGTTTCATTGTCATCCGACATATCTACAGGGACCAAGTCCTCTTGCAGGAAATGAGGAGCCACACGGATCTCCCTAAAGTTCTGCCGCACGTGGGACAAAGGCCATGTAGTCGTTGTCGGTGGTGGTGTACTGGGGCAGTCATCCCCCACAGCCTGCTCTTTGGGTGTCTCTGTTGACCCTGTAGTTTCCCCAGACTCCTCACACTGGCTCGTGGTTGTAGATACTGAGGCAGCTGCTGTGGGCTGGAAAATGGAAAGCTCTGAAAGATCAAAGCATGCCTCCCCCACCTCATTAGTGCCTGTTCCACAGTTCTCAGTTGTGTTTAATCAGGGATTAATCTGAATTGAAACTCACTTAAACCCAATTGATTATTTCCCAAGACTCTGTAGTCTAATCAAAGAGCTTATCAGGTGCTAATCATTTTCCTTGTAAGTGAAGTACTATCATCTTCAAGGGGATTTCAAGGTGTGGATTTCAGCCTCGCATGTCAATGTTTCTATTTCGAAAGCAATAAGTGCCCTTACCTTTCACATTTGGCAAGGATGACAACTGCATCTCTAACAGGTGGTCTAGCTCTCCCTGTCTTCTCTCTGGGTGTGTGGTTGGCCATAAAGAATAAGTGAGCAGGAAAGTGTGGTGCTGGAGAGTGCTGTCAAATCACAGCTGACTTATGGCAACCCCGTAGAGTTTTCAAGACAAGAGACATGCACAGGTGGTTTGCCCCTTGCCTGCCTCTGCATCATGACCCTGGTATTCCTCGGAGGTCTCCCATCCAAATGCTAGCCAGGGCTGACCCTGCTTCACTTCCGAGAACTGATGAGATCGGGCTAGCCTGGGGAAGTATCCAACCAGGAAAGCATCCCACTGAAATGACTTCTATTGGGTTAGCACTTCTCCATTCAAGATCTATGGCCTCTGGTGGTCTGGAAACAGCACTCCAAGGGATCCTAAGAACAGGAAGAACACTTCTCATGCCCTTCAGGTAAATGCACAGCTCTGTCAAGTTTCTGGGCAGGGGATGGAATCTGCTTCCCCTTTTCAAGTTGCTACTACCCAGAGCTACCAAGCTTCCACGTCATGTCACAGCACTAGCCAGAAAACATACCCATTGCCTGAGTAGCACCAAGGAATACCAGGGTCGTGACACAGCAGCAGGCAACGGCAAACCACCTCTGAATGTCTCCTGTCTTCAAAACCCCACAGGGTCCCCAAAAGTTGGCTGCAACTTGGACGTAAAAATAAAAAGCAGCAGTCATCATAGTTACTTAGATATGAAATTGAACTGATCCAGTGTCAAGAATTTCCAGTGAGAGATGCCACTTGGCACCCACAGACAGTAATCATTAATGAGGTTTTTCAGCTGAAATAAGGGTATTAATGTGAAACTCATCTTTTTTCATTTCTGTGAGCAACTCGGAGGGTTTTTCCCAGTTTTAAAACATTATTAATATGGTCTTCACCATATTGTTCTGAGGATATAGGAGCACAGAGGCATCCACAGTTTGCCAGGTATGCTTAAGAAGGAGAGGTCTGAATAAGGGGACTTCCGGTTTAACGGCGCTGTGGACGGACAGGTCTTGGATTGTCTCCGACCCACCTGTCTCCTCTTCGTTCTCCTTGGAGCTACCCAGCGATCGGGTGAGCTCTGCTTTGCTTCCTGGAGGGAGGCGAAGTGGCAGGGGGCGTTGCCGCCCCCCCCCCCCGGTTGATGGCAATTGCGGGGGGTGACGCTGGTTTGTCCCGAAGCAGGAACGAAGACTTGGAGGAACATGGCTTCCGTGTTCCCAGAGCAGCGACCAGCCGTTTTAAAGTATTTAAAGCAAGTAGCACATCGTACTTTGGTCATTTTTTCGCGTATATATATATACAAGATATTGGAGACTCTGATTTAAAACGCCCCTTTAGTTATCCCCAATTATTGTGTGAAAGCGGCTATGAAAAGTGAGGGGGAGTGACTGTTGCACAGAAACGGAGAAGAGGGGCAAGGAAATAGAAAATGCATGCCTGACTCTAAAGTATTTGCCACCTAGAGTAAGAGTGGTGGAAAAAGTGAAAGAAATCTACTGAATGTTATGCCGAAAGGATTGGGGAACTTAAGTAAATGGTGTTTAACAAGGCTATATTTGGGAAAGTTACTTAAGGTGAAAATGGCGGCGGCAGCAGCAGAGGATGAGGATAATCTAGATTTAAATACACAAATAGAAGACATTACTGGTGAACAATTCAAAAAGTTTTTGGAAGAAACAATTAAAAATCTGCTTGAAGGACCACAGGCTTTATATCCAGAGCAGGAAAATAATGAGAAAATGAACGTTACAAAAGAACGACGACTGAGTTATGGAAATGGAGAAGGCAGAAATTGGACTTGAGTCCACAGGAATTCAAGAATTTTAGACATCTAAAGGAAGTTGAGAAGGAAGAAGAGGCAACAGAGAGATGGAGAAAGAATATGAGACAAGAGACTTATCTGTGCATAAATATCCTTTCTCTTTAATAGATAATAGTTGTGAAAGAAAGGAAAGATGACTATGTGTAACTTTGTAATATGTAGTGTCACAGCAATTGGGGGACTGTAGAGTGATTATAATGAAATAGTGAAGGTGAAATGGGATTAATTAGATGATTGGGGTTATATTTGGCACTTAGGAAAGAGTATAAGTTAGGTAATGGGATTTAAATGTGTTTTGAATATAATTGTACTTTGTGTATTTAAAGAGTTTAATCTGTGGGAAAATGTTGATTTCTGGAGTTGTAGTAAGTGAGTGATCTTAATAAGGTGTAGACTATTTAAAACTTTTGTGTAAAATCTGGTCATTCCATAATTAATGAATTAAAGAGGGTATAATAGGGGGTACTGTGTTAATTTGTGATAATAATTTCTAGTTATAATTTGATTTTTAAGAAGTAATTGTGTCTTTATTGCATATTCATAGTTAGCGGATTGAGATAAAAACTTGAATGATGAAGAAAAGAAGGCATATCAATGGAATATTAAAGGAACTATAATTGGAATTAGGATGGTGATTAATCTAAATAATGGTATGGGGTATGGGGATAATTAGCTGTTTAAATCTTTGGTCTTTGGCTTCATGTTAGATAATCTGAAAAAGTTACCAGATATAATACGGGAGCAAAAAGGTTTGAAATGCACGATCTGAAATTATATTGGAACTAATATTATCTATAAGAGATTAATGAATTTAATAAGTATGGTATGGTTTTGTAGATGTGCCTAAAACATGTATTTGTATTTTCTTGTGTCTTGTTCGTTTGTTTGGAAAATTAATAAATAGATTATATATATAAAAAAGGAGAGGTCTGATGCACGGAGAAGGTGAGGACTTGAGAGCTTGGGAAATTTTTAAAAATCTGAACGGGCCCTCATGTTGCTTAGACAACTACCGCAGTCAATCACAGAAGACCTTGAGCTACTTCTAAAGAAGTGGGAGCAGTTTCAGCAGGGAAGCATAGGGACCAGAGTGGTAGCGGTGGAAGCCATCCCCTTCTATCCTGTCCTCTTTATCCAAAGGTTAGACCTGGAAGGGTCACTGGCCAGCAGTCATCCATAAGCCAGCTTGGTTGCTGCCAGGTTTGCTCAAATGATGTTTGCTGTCAAGCTGATCCTGTTCCTCTTGTCACATCATCAACTACATGCCCAGTTCTAACTGTGAGAGACAGTGTGGTCTGGTGTTAGAGTGGCGGACCAGTTCCTGGGAGACCCAGGCCCGATTCCCCTCTCATGCCATGGAAGCCTGCTGGGTGAGACTGGGCCAGTCACCCTCTCACCTTAACCAGCCTCACAGGGTTATAGGGAGAAAATGGAGGAGAGCAGAGCTTTGGGTCTCACTGGGAAGAAAAGCGGAGTACAAATGAATGAATAATAAAATAACTGCTGAGTGTGCAATTTTTTCCTTTGCATGCACCGCCTTACCTGAGGGCCCTGCTCCATATTTGGGGGCTTCACAAAGAAAGGAATTCGGCCCCTTTGCCAATCATTTAGCACCATCTTGCTCACAGTGCGCACGTCGGGCTCTCCCCCCTGAAACGACAGGAGTGCTCTTTCAACCCCACTGAACCAACAGACATACCGAGGAGCAAAGGCAGAACAAATGCGGGGAAGAGAATCCCTTTTGGGTCCCACGAATCCAGCGAGGCACTGGGCCATGGCTACAGGACCATTGTGGGGAGTGGATTCTTCTCCAAGAAGCCACGCCGTTCCCGTAAGTATTCTTTTCTTTTTTCAGTCCTGGCCTGCAACTTTGCTGGATTCCTGGAACCAGACAGTAGCCCAGCTCTCGCTTAGAGAGTGCCTGCCTGCCTGCTCCTCTCCCTCTGTTGAAATACCTCCCTCCTAACATCACTTCCAGTCTGCTCTCCACCCCACTCAGATTATGGCCTCGGAACAGACTCCACCTCCTCCCTGGCAGTCTTCCACACCACAACCCGCTGCGCCCCTGGAAGAAAAGTCCATCTCCTTCACCTTCAGCAGCTTCCCAGTCTTAGCAGCCAGCTTCTCAAGGAAATCCTCCGCATTTTCCCAGGAGTCTACTTTGTAGGTTTTGCTGATGTACTCTGGCTTGGCTCGCTCCAGCACTGTGGCAATATGATCTTCTGGACATTTGATTTTTTCAACTTGAACCTGGAAAGAACCAGGAAATTAGAATGCATTCCATCCCACCCCCAGGGCTTGTGCAGCAAATCCATTCAAGAACGGATGCAAGAACAGACTCCGGGAGGGGAGATGGGCAGGTTTCCTTAGAAGGCTGCATCTTTATCAGCTGCCATGGCACCCTACTGCATCAAGGGGCAAGAAATCTTTGTGAAGGTATCCCAGTCTCTTCACCATCTTCATCCTGAAATATACAAGTCTTCTGCCCAACAGACCTGACTTAGCTCCCGAGCCTCAAGAAGTCTCAACACTCACCACTCCTTTCAGCACAATGTCAGTTTCTGTGTCTCCTGATGGATACACCACTCCTGGACAATCAATAAGGAATATGCGGCGCATCAAAGTGATGTACTGCCACACCTGTGGAGGAAAAGGCAGGATTCAGCTGGCAGGTAAGGAAAAGGTCCCTTAAACTGGGAAGGAAGTGGCCATGGGGAAGCCTGGATACCTTAAGGAGAGGGAAAGGTAGGCAGGCAGGCCCCAGCAAGGGTTCTGCTATAAGATTCACTTTCTCACAGGCTAATTTACTACTTTCTCAAGGCTTTGAGTTCCAGAAATATTGTCACTTGCTCTAAACCAGTGGGAAAAGAGAGATCTCTTTCCTAAGGTTACCTATGCCATCGATTCACAACTGATTAATGGCAACCCCATTAAGTTCCATCTCGTGGGGTTTTCCAGAGATGAGCGGAGGTGGTTTGCCATTGCCCGCCTCTGCATAGCAGCCCCGGTCTTCCTTCATGGTCTCCCATCCAACTATCAACCTTGCTTAACGTCCAAGCGCTGATGAGATCAGGCAAGCCTGGGCTATTAGGCCTGCTACATCCCTTCCTTATCAGGGGCTGATTTTTGTGCCTGTCCATGCCAAGCTCGTTTGCCTGGTCTTCTCACACTCACAATACCTTCCCCATCCCACAGCTACGTCATCTTAGCACTGGTTCTGTCAGAGATTAAGCTTGACCCCACTACAGTGAGGCTTGCCCAATTCACCCACCTTGGTTTCGCCAGCAATAGGAGCTACATTGCAGACCTTCTTGGAGCGCAGCGTGTTGATCACTGAGCTCTTTCCCACATTGGGATAGCCAATGAAGCCCACACTGATCTGCTTCTTATCCACGTGCAGCTGTTCAGAAACACACACAGAGAAACACACCTCAAAGGCATGCCGTAGGCATCCCAGAAGAGGAACGATTAGAGTATTGGGTTACAGGCAGGGAGACTCGAGTTCAAATCTCTCCTCAGCCACGAAGCTCACTTGGTGGTCTTGGGCCGGTCTCTCTCTGCTGATTTACCTCATACAGTTGTTGTGGGGATAAAAAGGGGGAGGGAGGGAGCCACATGTGCCACTTTGAAGTGTTAAAAAATGGTTGAATAGAAATAAGGGTAGTTGCAATCAACCAGTTTCTCCATAGAATGCACTGTGAAGGGAAGCAGAGTATAAAGTTGGTTGTTGGAAAGGAGCCTAAGGCCTCGTAGGCTTGTGCCCACTGTGTCTCCCATGCATCACCGCCCTGCACTTTCCATGAGAGGATGGGAAAAGACAAGCAGGAGAGAAAGCCTGTTTGCTGCATCAACTTGGATCTCTCTGTACCCAGCCCGAGCGTGCCTCTGCCTACAAGTGAGCAGTAGGAGCACAGTTACGCTGCACACAGAACACAAAAGAAGATGCTGGCACTCCTGTAGCACTGGCAGTGGGAGAAGGGAAGGCCAGGGAGGCTTCAGGGGCTTGAAGGCAGGAGCTCAGCCAGTCCAGGAATGCACATGTCTGGCCATCCCTCCTCTCCCTTCTGATGAGGTGGGGGGCGGGGGGGGGGGGGGGGGGGGGGCTGGCATTTCTCAGGCTTGGTTTGACAGGTTCCCAGTCAGGTTCCCAAGACAACCAGCACACCACATTTGCTAACGATTGCCGAGCCTTGAGAGAGTATATGCTTCTTCCCTGTGTCTCAATGGAAGATTCAGGCCATCCCTCCACAAATGAAGGTTTCCCTGCAAAGCCAGCACCTCATCAGCATGGAGACATACCATACCTTGCCAAACTGTCTCAGAAGCTGGATGAAGGCTCCTTTTCCAAAGGGGTTTGTGAGGCTTGCGTGGAAGGCCAAGGTGGGATACTCCTGGGAAAGAAGGGCCACCCAGCGTCTCTGGAAGAGAGCACAGCCTGTCATTCAACAACTTTCCTTCAGGAAGCCCTTCAGCCCACAAAAGGCTGCATTCTCAGGCCATGGAGAGTCCAGTGGCTCCAATGAAAACTGCTGCCAAGCCAAAGCCACCCATTCCAATTCACAGAAATCACCCCAGCTAGGGCTTTGCTGTCCAGGAAGCCGCTTTGAGCAGATAGGTCCCAAAGCACACAGTGTTTTCCTGGCAGTGGCAGCAAGTATAGGAGCATGTGTCCTCCTGTAGCAAGATGCTGGGGACCTACCGTGGCCCACGTAGGCACAAGATCACATTTGTTCAAGACAAAAATGAGATGCTTCCAGGCTTTTTCCTTCTTCAGGTAGCTCTCCACATGTGGGGAGCGGGTTCCCATTGGGTCTCTCGCATCCAGCACCTGCACCACGACGTCTGATGAATCAATCACCTGGCAGTCAAGAGAGAAAGGGTGGGCCCTCACAGCCTGCCAGGCAGATCTCCGCAGAAGACAGGCATCACACGCCCTGTTTCTCCCCCACTGCAAGAGGCTGGCTTTGACCACTCTGTCCATCCCACAGTGCAGCCAGCCTCCACCTCCCTCAAGCCTTAGCCACAGTCGCATTACAGTGAAACAAGTTCATGACTGTAGTGTTAATGAGAAAGGACTAGGAATGGAAGAGCCCCCTGGTTCTCCAGGCTGGGGCACACCCATCAGACAGTGGGACTTCTTAGGCTGTTTTATCATGATCAGAGTCCTCCAACAAAAAGGTGTGGTGGAAAGTGCTGTCAAGTCACAGCCAACGTGCGGCAGCCCCGCAGGGTTTCCATGGCAAGAGATATATGCAGAGGTGGTTTTGCCATTGCCTGCCTCTGCACAGCAACCCTGGCTTTCCTTGGTGGTCTCCCATCCAAATACTAACCAGGGCTGACCCAGCTTAGTTTCCGAGATTGGGCTAGCCTGGGCTATCCAGGTCAGGGTCCAACAAAGTAGCTCTCTCAAAAGAGTAGCCATGGCCCAGAAGCCTGAAAGCAAAGAAAAGGGTGGTGGTGGTGGTGGGGATGTAAGAGTATCACAACAGACAGTACTGCTGCATTGTGTGGCGTTTCCCAGTCAGAAAACCCAGCCAGCAGCTTTCCAAAAGCAGAAGGTTGGCAGGATTCCTTTCCAAGTCCCGACCTCTTTCCACAACGATCCCCAGAAATAGTGGGTTGTGTTTCACTGCTGAGAAGCCCAGCCCATCTCTCTCCCCCCCGGTCTTCGCACCTGCCCACTTCCCCATCCCAGCAGATGCTTAAGAGAGAGGGCCACTGTATGCGGTGCAAGAAGGGGAGGTGACAGAAGGGAGGCAGCAGCTGCTCAGAAGACGGAGTGCCTGAGCAGGTTCCGCGATGGCCAGCAGCCAGGCTTTTCCCTGACAGGCTGTCACTCAGTGCTGACACAGGAACCAATATGCCTCCCTGCAGTCCAGGAGGCCAGCCAGCTGCAGGCTTTCTAAAAGGGTCAAGCAGCAGAATACAGACCAGGGCAGTCTTTCCAGAGGCTGCTCAGGATAATCAGCTGATCCAAAGCGGCAACTGTAGTTCCACAAAGCCCTAGGGAAGCAGAAAGCTACACGGCTTCCCCATTTCACATCCACACCTTGTAAAGCTCTCCCCAGATCCGCTTGGACTGCCCCTTCTTGTATATCTCCTCTTGGGCCTCTTCCCTACAAAGGGGCAAATGAAAAGGTCAGCAACTCAAAGCCCACCTCCCACCTAGAGATATAAAATTCCCTTTCCTATCAAAACCAAACCTATTCTCCTGCTTCAACAACATAATTTGTTTATAATTTGGCTAGCACAGACATTATTCTACTTGGTATATTTACAGAATTTGAAAATAAAAGCCCCAGTTTTCTACAAGCCAAGCTACAAGTAAACTTGAGACAGCTGAAATGTCCTCTGCTATCTTGACATATTTCACTCAGTCCAAAAGGAATTCTGTATACGTCCACATACATATATACCCGTTTTGTTCAGTGCTTCAGACATTTTCATGATATACACTGAATAAAACTGTGTTTAAATGCATTTCACTCATTTCAAAGGAGGTTTTCTTCTTCAGAGCATCTTCCAAATTTCCCTTCAGAAAAGCCGAAGGGGGAGGAACCTTGGACAAAAATGTATTTGCCTAATTTCCCCCAGACCTTCACATCTCTGCCCATGCCACACTTGCTGGAGGCCAGGTCAAAGCAACCATCCCTTGGATTTGAGGCACCTCTCCCACCTGGGAGCACAGAAACGACATGACACCTGTGTGGGGCAAACTAGTCTTCTCCCATTGCAGAAAGGTGAGGTCCCCCATACAAAGCAATAATTGCAGCCTTGGAGATGCAGCAAAAAACAGACATGCTCAAAACAAGGTGTGTGTTTCCACTCAGGGCTGTCCATCTTTGCACAACTGGCTGCAAAGAGATGAAGGCTGTGTAATGACATTAAAGGGGCATATAACAAAACGCCCTGAAAAGAGGCCACTAGCCCTTGGGAGGAAGGGATTCAGCATGACTTTGGAGGACACAAATTCCCCATTGCTACACAGGATTAGGGCCCACCCCCTTTGGGTGGGGCAACCAATGCATTTCCTTGAGCTCCATCTCCCATATTACTGACTCAAGCCATACCAAATTTGTAAATAAGGAAACAGGGGGGAGAGTTCTACTTCTCCAGCTCCAGTTCCTTACCTTACTCCCGTATCCTCCACCACTAAATCCCGGTCCTTGTCTTTGTCATAGCTGCTGGCCCCGGCTGCAGCGTTTTCCAGCAGCGACTGCACATCACTCGCCGAGAGATTTGGCCGCTTCCTGAGCGATTTAGGGCCAAATGTCATTTCAAAGGTTTCTGTGTCAAGAATGTGAACTTTGGAATTCTGAAAAGCAGAGAAGGGTAGGGAGAGTTTGCACACCAATTCCTCTTGAGCTCACTGCATCGGGACAGGACAGTACATCCAATTATACCCCTGGAGCTTCCATACGAGAAGGGCTTCAATGCCAAAGCAGCGGCACAGCAAACCCATACCGGGCCTCCCTTTGCCAGGCACCCATGCTCTGCTCATTAACCCAAGTCCAACAACATCAAAACCACACAAACAAAATCCAACTGTTATCTCTGCTGGCTCCTTTGCTTCATCAATGAGGCTCCAGATCCTGCCAAAAAGCAGATTTGTTAAGGATAGTCTGGCTCACATTTGGAAGTTTTTTTGAAAGGCCAGCTGCGAGCCCCAGCCCTTTTCCAGGGAATTGTATCTTCTGCAGCTAGGAGAAATGGATCATGTTGTGATGTGCGCTCAAGTTACAGAGAACCCTTTTCTTAATTTGGAATGTTTTGTTTTATTAGAGACACATGGAAACTCCTGAGAAAACAAAGGCATCCAGTGGGAGCCCAAGAAATCAAAAGGGGGGGGGGAACCAAAGCTAGAGCAAAACGCACATACTTGGGGGCTGGATTTAGCAAAGCCAACATCGCCCCCACCTTTAATGCCTGATGGAAACCAAGAGACAAGTCCTTCTGGGAATCCTTGCCAAGGAAAGTGAATCCCCTCTGAATGCACACTGTAAGCATCTAACACAAGGGCAACTGGGGGCCTCGTCCAGTTGAGTGCCACCAGGGTTACCCAATCCTGGCAAGGATTTACAGATAGCTGCAGTTCAGGTACAGAAACCACATCCCAGCCCAAGAGAAAACCATAAAAACACACGCATCAGCAATACATATTGTGGATTTGCCTTAAATATTGCACTGTAGAAAGGTGTGAGAGAAACATGACAGATAAATAATGACTCCAATAAAGAAGTCACCAACCACTTCCTGCAGCACTGAGAGCAACCGAGTCCTGGGAAGACTCGGGAAAGAGCCTCAGAAGAGATTTACAGAAAGACAAACCGCACTTGGTTGATACATCATTCTGAAAAACTGCACAGAAAGGTGGCTTGCACCGGACTTGTGATTAGCCACTTGCCTGGTCACGTGAAAACTCTGCATCTCCTTCAGGCAGTGAAGCTTTATAAAAACTGGCTATTGTTCTTCTTTACACCACAAATGTAGCACAGCGGGAAAACTAGACCATGTTTCTTCCTTTGCAAAGCAAAATCATGCCCCTCCACTAGGACTTTCCTTATTTGTAACTGAACGGATTCTAATTTCATAATAAGAGAGCACTCATGTATGTAAATGCAACCCAAGAGTCCCCTCCAGATGAACCCCACACTTTGGATACTCTTGAAAAACAGCATTTCAGCTAGCTTCAAGAAATGACTAGAAGACTCACGTGAGGCTTAATTCGGTCATGGAGGAGGGACATAGGCAGCTTACTCCGCTTCATGACCACTCTGTAGGGGTCCTTCATCACAGTCTCCATCTCCTCTTGAAATTTCTGGAGGGATGACTGCTTGATCACACGAGTGTTTCCTGCATTGGGCGACAGCCATAAAAAGGCACACCTCAGAGCCACTCTGGTGTCTGCTGCTACTTGAAACAGTAGTGGTGAGAAACAGTCCACAAATGCACCTACTCACTAGACCTGCAGCGTTCTGGGTGGCCTGACGTTCTGGCCAACCATTCCCACCTGCTCCCAGCTCAGCTGTAAGACACCAGAGGCTGCCCAGTGCCGCTCAGAAACCCATTCCAGGAAAATCAGGAGACAGGAAGGCTGCAGATGGACTCACCAAACCACTTGATGTTGGGCTCCACTCTTGCCACTGTGCCTGGTGCCACTGTGGACTGGAACTGGAGTGGCCGGATCAACTTCCCACGATTGTTCCTAAGGATAAAACAAAGCTGGCCTTGGATATGGGAGATGTGAATTCCAAGATCCAAGTAAAGTGAAGTAGCTACACAGGTCAAAGGAAAAAAATATGAAAACAAAAGTCACATAGCACCCTTTGTAAAGGCCAATTAAAATGACACAAAATAGTGCACCAGTTTTCAAGCCTTTCAAAACCCTTTACAAGGCTGGATGTTAGCCTGCTTTTGTTGGAGACCCATGCAGACTTAAGAGTTGGTATGAGACACTCTTGGCCCCGTAGGCCCCTGTCGGCACATGTGCTGGGGGCTGCCTTACTATAATTCAGGAACTATCGGCCATCTTTTCTTGGTTGAGGCTTCCTAAGACCAATTACCTACAGATTAAGGTGTGAGGAAAGTTGTTCGAGAATTGTGACAACTATTCAAAGTCACACCCTTGAAGATTTTGCTGGACCAGCTACCTATCTGCTTCCAGGCCCAATTCAAAGTCCTGGTTATTATCTTAAAAGCCCCTCATGGCCAAAGGCTCTTAATTTGCATCTCCCAGCATATCCCTCTGCCACTTACATTGTCCAGACAGCCTCCTCCTTAAGGTACCCTCCTTTAGGACTGTCTCATGGTGACAGTGAGACCCTGGGCCTTTTCTTTTCTTTAGAATGGTCTGCCACAGTTGGGAGAGGATGGCACCTTCTTTCACCACATTTACAAGGGCATGTAAGTCAGTCTTATTCCAGAGAGCATTTGGTGGATGGTGAATTTTTCAGAAGATTTGGCTGAAGGTTTGTTGATCCTATGTGTTTGAAGTCTGAACGCTTTTAGATTAGTAAACTGTGTATTTTAATCTGCTTTAATTTTGTTAACTGGACTATTTATGTTCTTGCAACTTGGCTGCTACATTGTTCACCACCTCAAGTCCAAGGAGATAAGGATGATAAAAATGTTTTAAATAAATAATACCTAGATGTGTTAAATGTCTTTAAAAGAACTGGTGAGTAACTACTCATTTTTATACTCACAGCGGAGGCTGCTGTTGTTCTCACTGACTTTTCCCCACAGGGCCAAGAATGCCCAGTGCCAACTTTGCCCCATGCCTCAGTGCCACCTAAGTCTTCATGACTCTCCAACAGGAGCAGAGTAAGGGCCTACCTCAAGTTCATGGTCTGAAATAACTTCTTCACCGCACCAACAGGGAGGTGGATTGAAATTGTCCACTGAGACCATGGCTAGTGACATGGACTGCCTGACAAGGTCTCGAGATAGCAAGAGGAAGGTTGCAGGCTTAACGTGTATGGGAAATTATAGCTGTTTCTATACAAATGCTAGAAGTGTACGAGGTAAAATCGGGGAGTTGGAGTGCTTGGTGTTGGAGGGAAAAATAAGACATTGTGGGTATTTCAGAAACTTGGTGGGATGAGGAAAATCAGCGGGACACAGTGATTCCCGGTTATATCTCAGAAGGATGGGGGGGGGGGTTGGAGGTGGGGTGGCTCTGTATGTCAGAGAGGGTATAAAGTCCAGAAAGATTGAGAGGCTAAGAGAATTGGATTCGCTTCTGGAAATGTTATGGGTTGAAATAGTGGGCCCAAAAGGAAGCTTGGGAGTTTGTTATCGCCCACCAGATCAAAAGATAAAGGAGGATTATAAAATGATGAATGAATTAAAGATAGCAGCTAGATGAAACAATTGTGTCGTAATAGGTGATTTTAACTACCCACACATTGATTGGGTCAATATGTGTTCTAGTCGAGAAAAAGAGATTGAGTTTCTAGACACTCTAAATGACTGTGCTAGAGAGAGATCTTGGAGTTGTAGTAGATAACTCACTGAAAATGTCGAGACAGTGTGTGACTCCAATAAAAAAGGCCAATGCTATGCTGGGGATTATTAGGAAGGGTAGTGAAAACAGACCAGCCAATATCATAATGCCCCTATATAAATCAATGGTGCGACCTCATTTGGAATACTGTGTGCAGTTCTGGTCAACACACCTTAAAAAGGATATTATAGCTTTGGAAAAAGTGCAGAAAAGGGCAACTCGAATGATAAAAGGGTTGGAACACTTTCCCTATGAGGAAAGGTTAAAGCGCTTAGGGCTCTTTAGCTTGGAGAAAAGACGACTGAGGGGTGACATGATCGAGGTTTATAAGATTATGCATGGGAAAGAGCAGGTAAAGAAAGAGGTACTTTTCTCCCTTTCTCACAATACAAGAACCCGTGGGCACTCCATGAAATTGCTGAGCGGTCGGGTTAGAACGGATAAAAGGAAGTACTTCTTCACCCAAAGAGTGATTAACACATGGAATTCACTGCCACAGGAAGTGGTGACGGCTACAAGCATGGACGGCTTCAAAAGGGAATTAGACAAGCATATGGAGCAGAGGTCCATCAGTGGCTATTAGCCACAAGGTATAGATAGGGGCTCTGGGGCAAGTGATGCTCTGTCTTCTTGGTGCTTGGGGGGGAGTCAACAGTGGGAGGGCTTCTAATGTACTGGCCCCACTGGTGGACCTCCTGATGGCACTGGTATTTCTGGCCACTGTGTGATACAGAGTGTTGGACTGGATGGGCCTTTGGCCTGAACCAACACTGGCGTCTCTTATGTTCTTATGCACCACTTTATTTTTTTTTTTTAACATCCAAAGAATAATTCCAGAGAACTCATAAGCTTGCATACAGTTTTCTGTCCTCTTTTTTCATCTTCGGAGTATTACAGCAATTTTGGTTTAGGCAAAATAAGCATCTCTAAGCTTTCCTACCTGGGAAAACCAGCAGCTATCCACATTAGGTGAATGTAAAAGAATATACCATAAAATATCTCCAGCGTTAAAAGGTTGCCAAAAGGTAGAATAAGGTTTCAGGTTAGAACATTGGAGATGACAGAAGAACATTTTCATTCACTCCAATCCTATAGACGTAGCTGGTTCAGAAAGGAAATCTGCTCATCCATTGGACAACTGCCTTACTTGTTGCTAGAGGCATGGAACAGAATTTGGGGAGCCTGACTAGGCCCCTCCGAACCATAAACAGCATGTCCTGTCAATCACACAAGTGAGCACTGAGAGACAGAGCTCTCAGCTGGTGCATCCACCACACACCCAGCACAACAAGCAAAACATAGCTTGGTCACTACCCGGAGTATGCTAGAAGCAGAGCACCTCTACGTGAACAACTGGAAACAATGAAGGTTCCTTGGCACATGACAGGCAAAAGGGCAACAGGTCCCAGAGGTGAAGGCAAGAATGCCTGTTACTCAGGACTGATGTTTTTCCACAGGCTATGCCAAGTGATGGAGCTGAGCCTCTGAAAAACACATGGCTAAGATATTCCACATTTCACAGTTGGCATCTTTTCAGAGGAGATTTGAGAAAACACAGCAAAGCTGCTTCCATTTAGCACCTGCTCATGGGTACCGAGTATGTGCTGGCACCCAATGGGGCATGAAATTAACTTGCTTGCAGGTGGGAGGGAAGCAGCATCCAAGTTTTTGGGGAGCAGATGGCAACCTCTCCTCAACAACTGAGCAATGCTAAAGGCCTCTTCTCCAGCTGTCCCACTAGCCCAGGGGTGGCCAAACTACAGCTCGGGAGCCACATGCGGCTCTTTCAAACATATTGTGCAGCTCCTGGCAAGGTGGCTGGGAAAGCGAAGGGGAGGCATAGAGAAAGAAAGCAACTTTAACTTTAAATGCATTCTCAAAGCCCCCCTCCCCTACCAGCCAGCTTGGAGAAGGCATTTGTCTCTTTAAATTTCTTCTCCAGGCCAAGCTGGCGGGCATGGGTGTGTGCAGGGGGTGGGGTGGGGGGACTTGGGGAACACATTTAAAGTTGCTTTCTTTCCACTTCTCTCTCTTTCACTCTCTCTTTGAAAAAATAAATATAATTAGCTACCAAATAAATATAATTAGCTACCAAATAAATATCATTATCAATATCTGTTTTTACCTTTTGTTTTTATTTTTGGCAGTCTCACTTAATGTTAATAAAAAGAAATTTTCTATTTTTTCAATAAAAATGTGTGTGTAATATTTGCTCATGTTTTGCAGCTGTCAAATATCTGACATTTATTCTATGTGGCTCTTACATTAAGCAAGTTTAGCCACCCCTGCACTAGTCTATGCCTGTCAGACAGCCCTAAGACATGAGGGCTGAGGAAGAACAACTGAAGCAGAAAAATCATCCAGAGACAGCTGCAGCCTCAGAGAATCATCAGGACTTTTGATCAGAATCCTAGAAAGTCCCAGAGCCCCTAATCAGTTTTAAAGATTTCAATCAGATACTGAGCCCACTCAGTAACAGCAAAAAAACCCCAACAAAACACCTCCACAAGATTTAGGTTTCTTGAATGCCTTCAGTAGCATCCCAAGCTTTACAGTGCAAGGATGGAGTTACACTTTAGTTACCCTCAAGGGCAACTCAGAAACAGAACAGGGTGTGATGTTTATGGTTGAAGATCCTATACGGAATTTGCCATTGTTAATGGAGAGAATAAAGGAGTTCGGAGACCTTGCAGGCTTCTATGTAAATAAGGACAAATCTAAGGTGATGTGTAAGAACATGATTGGAAAAAAACAAGAAAAGATACAGAAGTTGGTGCACTGTGAAGTGGTGAAAAAGACTAAGTATTTAGGTATTGAACTGACAATGAAAAACATAGATCTTTATAAGAATAATTATGACAAACTGGCGTAAAATACAACAGGATATCAAGAAATGGAATACTTTGAATTTGTCACTGTTGGGAAGAATCTCTGTGGTTAAAATGAACATTTTGCCTCGACTAATGTTTTTATTCCAGACAATTTCAATAGTAAGAAATTTGAAGGTATTCAATATGTGGCAAAGAGAAATTTCAAAGTTTGTTTGGGCTGGGAGAAAACCACGGATTAAAATGAAGATTTTGTGTGATGCGAAAGAAAGAGGTGGATTCCAGTTAACAAACTTTAGACTATATCATGAAGCGGTCTGTTTAACTTGGTTACAACAGTGGATTCTGTTAGACAATAAGAAACTTTTGGCGTTAGGAGGACATGATTGTAAATATGGTTGGCATGCCTATTTATGGTATGAAAAAGTGAAAATGGATGGTTTTTTAAAACATCATTATATTAGAAAAAATCTGTTTGATACATGGACTAAATATAGAAGGTTTTTCTCAGATGAAAGGCCTCTTTGGATAGTACCGGCAGAGGTTATAAAACCTTTTTCGATATATAAGGGAGAATACTGGGTACAGTATAGAGACATGTTGAAACCAGTGGGTAAAATATTTGAAATGAAAATGGAGGATGACTTGGTATTTAAATATGGATGGTTTCAATATAGACAGATTAATGACTTGTTTAAAAGATTAAAAAAGCCTTTGGGTTTAGGCAGAAAAATAATGAAATTGAGATTATACAGAAGATGAGAAAGTTAAAGAACAAATGTTAAAATGGGCAGTTAATATGAACAAAGAAAAAAATTATTGGGAATTTTTATGGAAAACTGCGATAAAAATACCTACGTGTAATAACTTAAAAGAAAATTGTTTTAAGATGATGTACAGATGGTATATGACACCAAAAAAGATTGCTAATATGAATAGTAATATGTCAAGTAAATGTTGGAAATGTAAAAAAACAGAAGGCTGGTGGACATGTGAAAAAGCTAAAAAGTATTGGGCAGAGATACATGAAGAAATGGAAAAAATTGTAAAATGTAAATTCAAAAAAGAACCGGAAATATTACTTTTGGGACTTAAAATGGAAGAAGTTAACGTGGCAAAAAGGACTTTGATGTGGTATATGATTACAACGGCCAGAATGACATATGCTCAATGTTGGAAACAAGATAAAGTGCCTGAGGTTGGGGACTGGATTAAGAAATTACTTTTTATGGTTGAAATGGACACATTGACAAGGAAACTTAATAATTTGGAAGAAGAGGATTTTTTTGCGGACTGGAAAGATTTTAAAGACTATTTGGAAAACAACTGGGATGTAAGGGACGGTTTATTTAGTTTTGATAACTACTGAAAGGTAATAGATATTGTAAAATGGATTAAGATGTATAACCAAATTAGGGAAGGGTAAGTTACCTATAGATTTGTGTAATAGATTTAAAAGGAGGTTAAGAGGATTTAAGAACTGAGCAGGAGGTTGGAGCACTGTGGAAAGCCGAAAAGGGGGGGGGGAAGGGTAGGAGGGTAGGATATATGGGTATAAAAATGTTTGATATATATTGACTTGTGTTTACCATATCCTAATAAAATATGTTTTTTTTAAAAAAGGAAATAGAACAGGGCACAGCCGTGGTCACGCTCCTGAGGGAAGCATGGAGACCAGTATCCTAGGAGGAGCAAGAACTGCATCTTGGCAAGGCAGGAGAAAAACTCCTTTCCAATAGTGGATCAAGCCATAAAAAGAATCACAAATAGAATCATTTGCTCAAGCAAAATAAACACTGCCTATCCTCTTGCCTTTGCCTGCAAAGGCTCCAGTTCAATCCGACCCTGTCCAAGGCAAAAGGCCTCGCCTGAGGGTTTTTGCGCTTGTGCATCAACATCTCAGAGAATCACAGAGCTGGAAGGGGCCATATAGACCATCTAGTTCAACTCCCCAGCTCAATGCAGGACTAGGCTAAAGCATCCCTGCCAAGTGTATAGAATCATAGCATTCTCATCCAATTTGGGCTGCGAGCCGCGCAGCAAGCGAGAGGAGGGCCAAGCCTCACTACCCAGTCCTCCTGCCTGAAGCCTGAGAGTCTGACCGATCACAGCCTTTCGGACCGCACATTCCCGGGTGCGAGTGCCCGAAGCCACCAAAAAGGCCGTCGACGTCAGCTGCTGTGGATCCCGAACACGCGCCTGCTGGAGCAGGAAGGGCCCCAGGGCTTGTGGAGGGTCGGGCACGTCGCTCCCTCCGCTCTCACCTGCGCTCCTTCTGCCGGTACATGTTAAGCCGCCGGATGGTTGCCCGGTCCCGCATGTTGCCGCCCGCCGCCTCCGCCGGCCGATCTGGGGGTGAAAGAAAGAGGAGGGTCATCATCATGAGGCAGACCGCCGACGTGCCTTCCGCCCTGAGGCAGGCGAGACGAGGCGGCCTGGGGCCTCTGCCTACCGGGGTTGGTGCTGGCCCGCGAGGGGTTGAGGCTGGCGCGGCCCTTGAAGCGCGGCTTCACCATGATGACGGCCCCGGCTCTCCACAGATCGTGCAGCCACAGCCGGCAGAGAGTCCGGAAAGAACGACCCAGGGACTTCCTGCGACGCGATGACGCATTTCCTTCGAGACGTCCCTCTTCACTCGGCCGCTGGCCGTGACGCCACGGCGACGCCGCGAAAGGAAGCGCCTTGCAGGGCGAGGGAGGGTCACGCGTTCTCTGAGGGTTGTCTACTCCGGGTGGGGAAATTCCTGGCGATTTGGGGGTAGAGTCTGGAGAGGATGGGGTTTGGGGAAAGGAGGGACCCCAACGGGATATGATGCCATAGAACAAAGTTTGAGTCCAGTGGCACCTTTAAGACAAAGTTTTATGCAGAGTATGAGCGTTCGTGTGCAAGCGCGCTTCCTCAGATAGCTCATACCTCGAATAAAAAAGCGCCACTGGACTCAAACTTTGTTCTACGGCTTCAGACCAACACGGCTACCATAAACTTCACCCTCCAAACCAGCCATTTTCTTCAGGGGGAACTGATCTCTGTCATCTGGTGTTATAATTCCGGAAGATCTCCAGGTCCCACCTGGAGGTTGATAACCCTAATTTGGGAGGTCTCGGGCCCACTGCAGACAGGGTAAAAGCACCACCTGGGCTCCCAAGAACTCTGAGGAGGAGTTTCCTTGGTCTACAACTGGTGGGCCTGCTGCCTTCTGCCTGCTCTTCAAAACATTTTGATTTCCTTCTTCCTCTTCGTTCCTTCCCTCAGCAAATGGAAATGATTTCCCAGCAGTAACTGATCACTGGGGCGGCTCAGAAAAAACTCCGGGTTGAACTATGGGGCACCAGAGCCCACCGCATTCTACTCCATAACCACATAATTCACTCCAGATTCGCGTGGTGAATGGTAAACTAACTGGGAGCGGCTAAGCCCCCACTCTTGGTTGCAAAGGAAGCTTGGTAATAGGGAATAGGAATGTGGAAATGCACACTCTTGCATGCCTCTTGATTGCAGAGATTGCTTCTTGTGTGTGCTGGGTACTTTCATTCTTTGTGTTCTGTCACTACCTTCTTTTCTACCCAGTCATCGAAGTGTGCTTGTGAATTCCCAGTTGATTTGCCCCACTCTGGACTGAGTTACCCTGTTACAGAGTGCTGGAGCAGAATGCTGTGGTCTTGTGCCACCTGTCTCGGTCTGGTTGCTCTTTTCACAACCCCAAGACTGAGCAACTGTTAGGAAGTAACATGGGAAACGGAATTCAGAGTGAATCTCTGGAGGTTTGTTTAGGCACAGCAAAAGGCCAGGGAAGCTGGAGCCTGCTGGAATACAACAAACAACCCATGAGCCTGAGCCACCACCCCTGCCCACTGATCTTGCTGGTGCTTGCGAGATAAGGAGCAAGTCTGCCCACACCCTGTTCTCTCAAAAGAAGACATTGGAGATGGAGCTGAGGGCAGTTTGTAAGAGGTGTCGCTGGTTCTGATGTATGCTCACTTACCCACTTTTGTGTCTGAGAACAGGAGCTTGTATTATTTGCCATGCAAAGCAGGGGTGGCCCTGGTCAGTATTTGGATGGGAGACCACCAAGGAATAGCAGGGTTGCTACACAGAGGCAGGCAACAGCAAACCATCTCTGGCCCCGGTCACACGGAGCATTAGGCACGCTAGAGAGACGGAAGATAGGCGGATTTTCCGGGCGCAATCTCACCGCCACATCTGGGAAGCGTAGAGCTCCCGTGACTCACCCGAGGCTTCACTCCAAAGATGTGCTGTAAAAAACTAGTACCTCCGAGGTACTAGTTTCCAGAAACTGCGGGGCAAGGGCGGGTGTCAGATCACATTTCCGGTGTTAGTTCATGGCATCCGGCGCCCGCCCATGTCCTGCTGCAAAACCTTTTTTTTTGTCAAGTCTCCATGGGTGCGCACAAGCACCCAACGGCGCACACGAACACTTGGGTTAAAAAAACAAACACAACCCCCGCGGCGCCGCTTCTTTGCCACGCCGCAGAGTGAGGTATGATCGGCACCTCCCCCCAACCACGGGACATCGGGCGGGACGTTTGCTCCAGCTGCCGCGCGGTAGTTGCAACCAGCCATGCCTCTCTCTCTCCCCCCCCCCCTATCCGGCTGTGTGACCGGGGCCTCTGAACGTCTCTTGCCTTGAAAACCCTATGAGGTCGCTGTAAGTCAGCTGTGACTTGATTGGGGGTAAGAACCAGTGGAAAAGCAATGTGTGTGCATACCCTGGAAGTAAAGCTCAAACCACTGCCAGCTCTCGTAGAGATGAATGTGTGCCTCCAGCCAAAGGCTCTCTTCCCCTTTCCCCCTCTTGGTCCTGACAGCAGGCTGTGGGCTGCTTCTCTGTAACCCGGGGGTGGTGGTGTTTGTATGGCCCCATATATTTATTCTGCCTATAAATACCGTCAGAGTGATTCATTGGGCGATTGCTTGTACATAGCTGTGATTTTTGATACTTAAAAGGAGTTGCTGCTGTCTCTTCTTTTTTTGTGTGTGTGGGGGGAGGGTTATGTTTCTCCTGTGCCCCTTGGCTGAGGCCACTGAGAAAAGAAGCCCTTGGCCCTCTCAATGTATAAACTGAGATTTCTTCTGAGTGAAAATTCATTTTAATGTAAACATAAGTGAGCAAGGTATATACATTCCCTCTTGTTGCTATGGAGGCAGAAGGCTAGTAAATTATTATTGGGAGGCTGTGTGAGAGTGTGTTAACCCTGGCTTGCCAGCAGAGTGGGTAAAAGTTGGGATTTATATGAAATGGGGAAGGAGAAAGCTAATCCTTTCCATCCATCAATGTTGGGGGGGGAGCAGTGGTGGGATGATGGGCTAAACCTCTGGGCAGGTTATGCTGAAGCGAGTGTCAGGTGTCAAGTGCTACACAATATATATTTTTATAGTCACTGCTGTTTCTCTAAGAACATAAGAGCTTTGCTGGACCAGACTAGTGGTCCATCTAGTCCAGCATCCTGTCTCATGGAGTGGCCAACCAGGGCCTCTGGAGCTTCCCCTGATGTTGTCTCCTGGCACTGTGATTCAGATGTTTACTACCTCTGAACATGGAGATTCCCTTTAGTCACCACGTCTTGCAGCCACCAATTGCCCGATCCTCCATTAATCTTGGTGTAGTGGTTAAGTGCGCGGACTCTAATCTGGGAGAACCGGGTTTGATTCCCCACTTCTCCAATTGCAGCTGCTGGATGACCTTTGGCAAGCCGTAGTTCTGTCAGAGCTCTTCTTGAAAGAGCAGTTCTTGAAAAAGCTCTCTCAGCCTCACCTACTTCACAGGGTGTCTGTTGTGGGGAGGGGAAGGGAAAGAAGTTTGTAAGCCGCTCTGAGACTCCAAGGGAAGGGCGGGATCCTTTGTCCCTACCCCCAAGGTGCCAGTTGGCGACACCTGAGTAATGATAGCAACATGGATTATTGTAGTAACAGTGGTAGTACCAATTCTGGGTGATCTATGTCATGTTGGTGGCTTTTACTTCCTCTATCTGTTGGAATGGCCTTGGCAGGACATTATCCCAGCCTATCCTTCAGGATGTACTGGCCATTTTATGGACCTTTGTCTCACTTGGTTCCAGACTCTCATGAGTGTATCCCAGTTTTCTGTTCCTGTCCGTTCCGGTCTTTCTTGTCAGTTCCTGTCATTCTTGTCCTGCTCCTTTCAGACTAGAATTTGATTTCCCTCTGATTCTGGTTGTGAATTAATGATTTCTTCCAGTGGTTAGGTGACTGGTCAGTGGGAACAGACTCCGGGCCTTCCTGGCCACAGTGGCCTTTTGCTTGGGATCTGTTCTCCTTGATTGATTTATTTACATTTACATTTATACCCCACCCACCCTGTGAACAGGCTCTGGGTGGCTTACAGGAGACGTCCGACAGGCCGATACAAATAAAACAATAAAATATTAAAATCCCTTAAAAAACAATCTTAACAATAAAGTGCTCGCTACAGCAAAGTAACCTTAAGATGAATGGCATTGTATCTGCGTTCCTTCTGTCTTCAGATCTTAAAATCAGTCTCACGGTTCAGATGTTCGCCAGTGAGGCTCAGAGCGGGCCAGTCCGATGTTCCAGATTGATGGTAACTGTGGTGGCGGCTCCTATTTGAAAGCCTGGTGGAAGAGCTCCGTCTTGCAGGCCCTGCGGAACTGTGAGAGGTCCCGCCAGGGCCCTGATCTCGTCTGGGAGCTCGTTCCACCAGTAAGGAGCCGCCACCGAAAACACCCTGGCCCTGGTAACTGCAAGTCTCGCCTCCTTGGGGCCCGGGATAGATAGACGTTGTTGGGCCCCAGACAGTAGTGCTCTCTGGGGCACAAATGGGGAAAGGTGGTCCCTCAGGTAACCCGGACCCTGGCCATAAATCCAATCCCCTTCTCCTCCTTCAAGCTGTCTATGCCTGTGGCAGCAAATTCCACATTTTAATCACTTGCTGTGTAAAGAAGTATTTCCTTTTGTCTGTCTTGAATGTACTGCCCATCACTTTCAATGGATACCCTAAAGTTCCAGTATTTTGGGAGAAGGAGAGAAAGTTCTCTTTGTCAACTCTCTCCCTGCTTTACCTGCATGTTTAGCCATAATCCTGGTGAATAAACTTGAGTCTGATTTTGCTTTTGTATTGTGTGTTGTAGACAAGAAATGCAATAGAAGGATCTGTCCCAGGTTGAAGGAGGACTCTGGGATGCCCTGAATGGTCAGCTATGTGCCTCTTCCATTTTGGTTGTTGCTGGAATGCCTGAAAAGGGGAGAAAGGAGCTACTTTTATTTATTTATTCAAGGGGTTTTTTGTTTTTTTAAAAAAAAGTCAAGGTGGTTTCTAAACACAAAATGTTGGGTGTAGTATTCTGATGCCCCCCAGGAGCATAAAACAGGGTTCCTAAGAAAATGGACGGAGAAGGAGCGGGGGGGGGGGGGGAGATTTCACATTTCCACTTGACTTACGGGAGTTGTACCAGACAGTGCCACTGCTTTCTCTTGCCTTTTTCACACCTGCCCTGTGTGGACTCTTCTCTCCTGACTGTCAATAGGTGTGCTGATCCACTTCATGTTAGTACTGGTGTCCTGACCTTGCAAAGCCAGCTTGCT